CTCCTGGGACAGTGCAGGCGTATCAATTACTGATACTAGCCATCAGGGCGACGGGAGGCCTCCCGGTCGTCAGCTAGCCCATTTACTGTCTGGTTTCTGTTTATGGTAGAGTCAGGGACAGGCAGCACACCTGCGTTCCTAGAGCATCAAAGGCTGACTGCCTTTCTCTTGCTCTCTGGAAGGGGGGAAAACAAGATGGGGTTCATGTCTGGCTACAGCTAGCCAGGTAATGTCCTTCCACCTCCATGAAAGTTCATGATTCCATCTACATGTTTTGTTAGTCTTTAAGGTCCTGCTAGACTATTAGTTGTTTTTTCAGCTTTTTCAGTTATAGATTAACTTAGTTGCCACCTTTCTGTGTATCAGTTTGTAAATACAGATAATAATGCTAAGTATTTAGATACCAAGATGATGACAATGATAAATCCTAAATAGGATATTAATTCCTATATCTGTTGAGTTGGCACATTTACATGATCTCCAGTAAACCAGAAAAGGAGAAGAGTGCTAAAGGAAGAAGAAGGAAATCACAGGAGCTAATAGGAGTAGCAGTTAGGTAGCAGAAATGAGGAGTATTGCATTGCAAAGTGGTTACAAGAGTGAGCTATGTTTGTAGACAAGGAGTGGGGCAGAAATTAAGGGGTCGGCAGAAGTAATCAGTGTGAGTTCTGGGGAAGATTTTTTATGTCAGTGCTGGCATTACTAGATTCATGTTGATAGGTACTGTTGCCTCCCTCCAATTAACATGAGAAAACAATGTTTAGTCTGTACTGGTGAAGTAATCGAGGTTAGAACAACATTTGGATTGGGTGTGTTGTATATGTCTACCAGATCAAATGTGGCTATTTATCCAAAAGTTATTTAAGAGCAGAGTTCAAATGAATTGGAACTTTTGCTCTGAAATTATGCCAAGCATATTGTAGCTAAGGCAGACTTTATAGTCTTGACTGAAATGCTATATTTCCTTCCAAAATTGGCTCAACTGATGGAAAATGAAAACTACAAAAACATGTTTTAGTTATATTGGAGCTAGCCTGGGAGTGGGATTTTCACTATCCTCCAGGGTTTCTTTGACATTTTCATAGTGTAGGCATATGTTAATAAGCATATATGTCTTGTGGACACCTCCCTTCCTGTCTATGATTGTACACATTGCCTTGTGTTTATTCACAATCACCAAATACCCTTGCTCAAATAAGTAATAGGAACATATTTAATGTACTTGAGAAGTCTCTTAATGAGATTTAACAGAAGTACATGAGAAAAGTCATATGCTGCACAAAGCCAGCAGCCGTTTCATGGAGTACCATCAAGTACTCCACAAACTACTAGTGATCCATGGATAACAGTCTAACAAGTGCGGTTGTGCCAACTTTCTCATTTGACTAAGAGTTCAGTAAAAAGACAAAGAAACAGAACTCGTCTCTGATGGTGATTCTGCCCCATCTTCTTTGACATATTTTAAATATTTATATCTCTTGTTGAAGTGTCAATGGCCTGTGTGTGATTTGTATACTGGTTTAAGTTTCCAAAGTTCTTTGGGATGAAAAGTAATGTATAATGCATTATTCTTGAAAGCTCAGTGACAACATCTGTGATGAGTGTAGTGCGAATGAATTTTTGGCTTATAATTTGCTGTCAGCCAGCTATGTCCTATACTGTACTTGACTTACTGTAGGGCATTAAGCTCTGTAGCACAAACAGAGAAGGAGAGAGAAGTCCTTGAGCCAGTGGTTTCCAATCCATTGCTCCCACCCTATTCATGACTGTGCTATACAATCACTACTGTGGTCTCTCAAGAATGCTCTAAGGAGAGAAGCTGCTCCCTAGTTCTGTTCTTCCTGTGCTGTGGAGTCTCCTGACCTATTATGTGCATTCCAAAACAATATGTGGAGGAAGTGTGCCTTATAGCTGCTATCTCACCTTTAGCTATACCAGTGCCTCCTTTTCGTCCTTTATTGCACCCTTCTGCCTTTAAGAGAGGGAGGAGAGAGTATTAGCTCCATGGTTTGGTCTCTTAAATCTGGATTGGGAATTTATTTCTGAGAATATTTAAACTTCCTGGTGCCTAATTTAGCCAACTATATTTGAGTCAAGGTAAAGTCTTTACCATTCCCTTCTAGTAGCATTACAGACCACAATTATCACGTTAGGACTCCTCCCCCAAAGTCCAACATCTGTTTCTTTTGTCATCTGCGGCACAAAGAAGAGAGATGGACAGGGACAGAGAGAGTCCTGTTTTCCTCTCCCGTTTATAGTTCAGTCCCCCTCATAAAGTGATGTCCCTCTAAGCATAAGGAGACATGGAGTCTAGTGAAGAAATATTCTCTTTTCTTTCACCTATGTGTGCTGAGATGCAGTATTTCTTTTACTCCTTTCTGTTCTCTTGCACTGTCTGATGACTCTGTTTACAGCTTATATGCAAACTGAAGTAATCATGCATCCCTTTGTATAAGACTTTGCTCACCAGTTGTGCCTTGGTTGGTGCTACATGAGTTGGAACCTGGGCCTTTTAACATTTTAAAGGGGAGATTTCTTAACTTTACACACCACATTGCTGCATACATTTCACTAGGGCTGTGTCCAGACTCAGGGGTTTTTTCGGGAAAAGTAGCCTTTTTCCGAAAAAACTTCACCTGCGTCTAGACTGCAGCCGCGTTCTTTCGAAATTAAATCGAAAGAACGCGGCTTTTCTTTCGACGGCAGTAAACCTTATTTCACGAGGAAGAACGCCTTCTTTCGAAAGTGCTTCTTTCGAAAGAAGGCGTTCTTGAATGTAAATAGGGCTTCTTCGAAAGAGAGCATCCAGACTCACTGGGTGCTTTCTTTCGAAAAAGCGGCTTGCTCTTTCGAAAGTTCCGCGTGCAGTCTAGACGCTCTCTTTCGAAAGAGGCTCTTTCGAAAGTATCTTTCAAAAGAGCCTCTTTCGAAAGAGGCTTGCAGTCTAGACATAGCCTAGGATATTATTGACTAGTGAATTATTAATTTTCAAATGTATCTCACAAGGCATATTTTGTACAGAGATTATTACAGTACCAGGTAGGTTGTGAATACAGGGGTGCGATTACTCAGGTCAAGCTATGTTTGAACTATGTTTAAAAACATATTCTAGCAATGGATTCTAAGTTCAGTTCCTGTTCCCAGGTAAAAGGAAAGATAAACTGAGGTTTGTTTTAAATCCTGGTATTTAGAGATGCTGAGCATCTACAACTGCCACTGCCTTCAGCTAGAGTTGTAGGGTTCGGGTCTGCCAGGCTAACTAAGTTGTGAATCATACAGCTGAGGCACTCCAGATCAGTATCCATTTTTGTTCATTTTAACCTTGGGGAATCCATAGCTATTTATTTATCAATTCAACAAATTTTGGAATAAAAACACAGTGGCTGCGTCTAGACTGGCATGATTTTCCGGAAATGTTTTTAGCGGAGAAGTTTTTCATTAAAAGCATTTTCGGAACAGAGCGTCTAGATTGGCACGGACGCTTTTCCGTCCATGCCAATGTAGACGCGCTTTTCTGCAAAAAAGCCCCATTGCCATTTTCGCGCTCGGGGCTTTTTTGCACAAAACAAATCTGAGCTGTCTACACTGACCATTTTGCACAAAAGGGACTTTTGCCCAAACGGGAGCAGCATAGTATTTCCGCAAGAAGCACTGATTTCTTACAGTAGGAAGTCTGTGCTTTTGCAGAAATTCAAGTGGCCAGTGTAGACAGCTGGCAAGTTTTTCCAGAAAAGCGGCTGATTTTCCGGAAAAACTGGCCAGTCTAGACACAGCCCTCAAGTAAACTACTGTAAGTAATTAAAGGTCTGCAGCTGGAAAGGATAGTTGTGCTAAAATTGAACATACAGTACTGAGCAATCTGTGTAAGAATAAAGCATTTACTTATCAGGTTCAGAGTCATCATTATGATGAAAAGGTAGAGAATGTATTTCACATTAGATGGGAAAAAAAAGCTCTTCATATTCTGTAACTCCAAAATACATTATTTTAATAAGTGTTGAAGGTCACTTATGAATCTCACTATTTTTTTGTGAAAGCATGATGGAAACAAGAGGGAGAAACATGATATACCACATATTAAAAAACTGTAGCCTGGTTCACAGTGGAACTTTATAGTCCTGTCACTTCCTGTTCTTGGGACGGTGTTTTTTCACAACGCTGAGCCAGAAAGTTACAGTGCTGTAAAGTCCCAGTGTAGATTTAGCCCGTAGACTACACTAAGGCTAGTATTAGGTAGTGTAATATATTTTGGATGGAATATTTAGGTGATAAAAGATTATGCAAGTGGCAGATGCAGTGCCATTCTGTTTTTTCTTGTCCATTATCTTCTGATAAAGATCACTTTTGATTTTTATGATTCTCAAAGTGCAAGTTGTTTACTCAAAATATCTTGACTATCTTTATTTTCTGTTTTCAGTGTAAATTTACAAAATCTTTTTGTCAACTCTTTTGTAAATGCTGTAAACTCCCACTCATGAAAGCTTAAATAGATTTTGTGTGGAACTAGGATCAGAATATATTGTAGCTAGAAATGACCGTGTTATTGCCTATACTTCCACCAGTCTGGACTTCTAACCAGCTTTTAAATGCAGAAGGTTTTAGGGCCCTATTTTGCATTCCCCATGCATTTAATTCCTAATGGTGCTAATGTGAATGTTGGATATGAAAATAATGCATGATCAGACCTTCATTTTCTTCCTCAGTCTTATTGTTTATCTGAGGGATTTGTGAATAAGGAAGCTACAGGAAAAATGTCTGGATTTAAACTTTCCTTTAAAAGCTGCAAGCCTGTAGCTTCTGGCATTTTGTTTGATGACTGAAAATTTTGATGCTACAGAGGTTTATTAAAATAGTTTAGCATGAAGTACATTTGATGTCTCAAGCTATTTATAGCAGTTTTTTTAAAGTCAGAAAATAACCAACATAATACAAATAATTTCTGTGTTTTGTTAAATTAGCTCTAAGTTGACATTTATCATTGTTTCTCTCTCACATCACAGTGCACTGAAAGCTACAAAGCAGAAGTGATACAAGTGGAAAGATGTTGACAAATGACTGATTTATTTCACATGCGAGAAAGCATCTGTTGTGTCCCAGGAACAAAAATTGGAAATACTACGGTAAGCTCTGAATTTAACTTTATTTCCTTTGCAAGTCAACTGATTTATGCAGCAAATGAGTAAGCTTACCATTGGCTCACATTCGGTGAAGTGACTTTGACAGTCAGCTGTTGAGGAATAAAATGGATAATTAATTTGCTTCATTCAAATAGTGACCAACTCTATAATCTACCAGTTCATTCCCGAGTTGATCACTTCTGCTAAACATTGATCTCAACAACTTGAAAAAATATAATAAATATAATAGAAAGCAATTCAAAACTCATAAAGCATAGTAAGAAGTGTTGAAATAATGGGTGAAACCTTGACTTCACTGAAGTCACTGGAAACCTCTCTCCTCCATTGCCTTGAGTGGGGTCAGAGTTTAACTGAGTGAGCCAAATTCTAAGCCATAAAGTAACTTCTTTATGTTGCTAGTTGGCTTAATGCCACATTTTCTTCCTCTTAAGCTGATATAGCACAAAATCAGATCCCGCATGTTCATATATTTATTTATTTACTGAAATTAAAGTTCTCTACGTTCAGCATTATTATGCATGACAAGAACAATAAGAAAATAACTAAGCCAAAACCTTCCTTCAGCAACAACTGTACAAGTTCTATGTAAGACAGAGAGTTCTGCATGTGTAGAGGAGTACCTTGTGCCACTGGTTCAATTCTACTTCAGCTGAAGTCAAAGGCAAATCTCCCAGGGTATGTCTACACTACAAAGTTAGTTCGAACTAGCGTCCGTTAGTTCGAACTAACTTTCCTAGGCGCTACACTTGCGCTCCGTTAGTTCGAACTTAATTCAAACTAACGGAGCGCTTAGTTCGAACTAGGTAATCCTCATTTTACGAGGATTAAGCCTAGTTCGAACTAGCTAGTTCGAATTAAGGGCTGTGTAGACCCTTAATTCGAACTAGTGGGAGGCTAAGGCTTCCCAGGTTTCCCTGGTGGCCACTCTGGCCAACACCAGGGAAACTCTATGCCCCCCTCCTGGCCCCGGACCCCTTAAAGGCAGTCAAAAAAGCAAACAATGTTAGGAATCATTTTAAAAGGCATAAAGAATAAGACAGAAAATATCTTATTGCCTCTGTATAAAACCATGGTGTGCCCACATCTTGAATACTGCATACAGATGTGGTCGCTTCATCTCAAAAAAGAGATCTTGGCATTGGAAAAGTTTCAAAAAAGGGCAACAAAAAATGATGTGGGGTTTGGAACGGGTCCCATATGAAGAGAGATTAAAAAGACTTGGACTTTTCATCTTAGAAAAGAGGAGACTAAGAGGGGATATGATAAAGGTCTATAAAATCGTGACTGGTTTGGAAAAAGTGAATAAGGAAAAGTTATATTGTGGGAATCAGCAAATAAGAGCTAGGGGTCACCAAATGAAATTAATAGGCAGAAGGTTTAAATCAAACAAAAGGAAGTTTTTCTTCACTGAACGCACAGTCAATCTGTGGAACTCCTTGCTAGAGGATGTGGTGAAGGATAGAACTTTACCAGGTTCAAAAAAGAGCTAGATACATTCATGGAGCTTAGGTCCGTCAATAGCTATTAGCCAGGATGTGTAAGAATGGTGTCCCTAGCCTGTTTCTCTGGAGGTGGGTGACGGGAGGGATGACATGATGATTACCTGTTATGGTTCCTCCCTCTCAGGCATCTGGTATTGGCCACTGTCGGCAGGCAGGACACTGGGCTAGATGGACCTTTGGTCTGACACGTTATGGCCGTTCTTACCGTGAGTGGCTCGTGGGCAGCAGTGCAACAAGGAAGCGAAGGCAGCTTCCTGAACCAGGAGGACTACCAGAGGCGGCACCTCCGGTTCCTGGATCGACAGCTCCGTCTCCAGGACCACTGGGTCCAGGAGGACCTCAGGCTGCGCCAGAGGAGTCTGGAGGCCCGGAGGAGCAGGGCCGTGCCCTGCGAGGCCACCTCCAGTGCCTGCTGGACCGGTTCCCATTTCCTCGTCCCCCTGCTCCCCCCTCTTGCTTCCCCGAGGACTACCAGAGGCGGCACCTCCGGTTCCTGGATCGACAGCTCCGTCTCCAGGACCACTGGGTCCAGGAGGACCTCAGGCTGCGCCAGAGGAGTCTGGAGGCCCGGAGGAGCAGGGCCGTGCCCTGCGAGGCCACCTCCAGTGCCTGCTGGACCGGTTCCCATTTCCTCGTCCCCCTGCTCCCCCCTCTTGCTTCCCCCGCTCCCGCTCCTGCTTCCGCTCCTGCTTCCTCCACACCCTCTGTCCCTCCTGCCCCCCCCACAACCATTTCCCACCGACGCCCCCGGACCCGCAGTGTGGCGAGACGGGAGAGGCAGGGGGGGGCCCCCCCCCGAGATGGGCTTTCTCC